TAAATTCTAAGAACTGTGTGTATGAACAATATCTCCCAGTTAACTTAATAAGCAGCAAAATATATTTTAAAAATATTATGAGCACTAGAGATATACAGGACAGATAAATAATCAAGTCACATAACTTAGCAAGAGTTGGACTTTTTAAAAACAAGCAGCTTTCTTTTGGTAATTTTCTGTAGTGTCACTAACAGCAGAGAGGAAGAAGTGTTTAAATGACAATAGCTTCTCTTTTTTCACTGTATAAGCATTAATTGTACTACAAGATGAACTGAAGTCTGCATTTCAAGTAGAGATTTAAACTATATTTAAACTATATTCAACCACCAGCTGTACTTTGAATGCCAAATACATTTTCTACAAGTTTCAAAGTAAATAGACCAATTAAATTAGAAGTTAAAAGTATCATGTTGGAAATTAAAACGAGAACTTCAGGTTCCAGAGGTAGACTTTTTGACCTCCTGCTGATCTTGGAATAGCAGAGTCATTCAAATCTCCCATACAGTTAACTCTAACAGAAATCCTGTGTATTTGAATACGTATTTTTAACTCTACACATAATAGCCATGACTGAATACATCATGCCTTATTTCTTCATTAGCAGAAGCCTTAATTCTTATCAGTGTTGTTCTAGATAGGTATAACCAAATTAGTCTGTAAAAATTAGCTTACTTTAACCCAAATGCAACTTAAAAAACCTACATCAATCATAGGGGTTTTGCACAGTGTCATTACTGGACTGAAGGATCCTAAAAGTATATTTTCACACTTGGGCATCTCCTATAAATACATTATTATTCTGTTACATTTGATCTCATCTCTGAACTTCTGGATTTACAATGCTCAGTCTGGAGATAATTGAAAACACCTTGTTATACAATTTGCTCCAAAATCATGACAAGTACTCCCAGCTATAACACAATTCAAATGTGTTCTGATGTGGTTTATACCAATATAGGTTAAAAAAAAAATCAATCACTAAGTAGGTATAGGAAACCATTCTGGGCACACAGCATGTTTGGATATCTTTTTCACCCCCACAGACTGAACAGCAAAAGATTGCCTAGCTTTCTTTATCACAACGATTTTGGAGAAAAGGTTTTGAGATCCAAAAAAAGAGGTAGTGGGCACCCAGTCTCCACTGAGACTTGTGGGGTTCAGCTACTTTGAGAACCAATGTCCAAGTGTTCTTTTTAACACAAATAGTAAAATTCCTATTATGTTGTGTAAGATTGAGGGACAAAACAACAGCTTAAAAATTCTTACTGAAGCATAAAAGTTACAGATGCAATAATAATGGTTTAGCAAATCTCCTGCTAAAATCATGTGACAGGTTACTTGAGGATAGTCTGGCTGCTGACTGAGTCTTCTGAGACTTTTCCATTCTAAATTCTGCTGAACTCCCCTAGCTAGTGATTTGGTCTTATAAATATTTAGGAGCACCTGCTTTGCTTTTTAGGATAGTTGAAATCTGGCATTTCCCTTTACTCCTCACAGTTTCAAGTGCTAACTGATCCTTTTGGAAGATGGGCACTGAGCAATAAACTCCATTTCTGCAACTACCCAAGAACATCATTAGACTGCTCTTGGTGATTGCCCATTCGCAACACAGGAACTAATGTGCCCCCAAATGACCCATGTGCACCCACCTTACACTGCATGGAGTAGCCCAGAAACAAAATCTTTGTGCAAATTCTGACTTTAGACAAAACTCATCTATGTTGCTCATACCTAGAATCCTCCAGCCACAACAAAGAGAACTGGCTGACCGGTGCCATTGCCTGTCAGTTTCTTCTAGCAAAAAAAAAAAAAAGATAAAAAATGCTGAATGGGGGTCAAAATTCTGAGGCGTACTGGTTTAGATTTGCATCTGACAAGCCTCAGGGGAAAGGGCAGTCAACATGGATCCTCCTTTCTTCCTCCAAACTCCCTGAACTTAGTCCCAGGGGTTCCTTTGTCACCATTTCAGCATGTGATCAGAACCTCAAGGTCCAGAATCAATACAATGATGGGATATGGCACAAACATCATGTTGAGGACAAAAAAAAAATCCTTCTTGGGAAAGAACATGTGTACAAGTATCCATATGGGGATAGCAGGGAGAGCTCAGAAGATTTTGAAATTATGCCTCTAACTGGGAAGCATGAGCTAGGATGGCTGGGCCTGAAGTAAAGGCTCTACAGAAAAGACAACTGTTCTCCACAGAAGCCTCAATTTTCTGGGCCATTGTGTCAGCAGCATTGACCTTTAAACAGTGTGTAAGTAGACTGAAGGATGCAATTACACCCATGTACTCAGCACTTCAAACCCATATCTGGAATACTCCATCCAGTCTTGAATTCTCCTACACAAAACACATTTACAGATTGAACTGAATTCAGTGGGGGCTCTCTAGGGGCTGGAGCACTTGCTCTGCAAGGAGACACTGACGGAGTTGGGCTTGTTCAGCCTAGGAAAGAGATGATTTTGGGTGATCTAACAGCAGTCCCCAGTACTTATAATGAGGTTAGTGAGAGGATAGACACAGGCTCTTCACAGCACAGTATGGCAGAGGGTATGATACATTCAACTAAAACAATGGATGGAAAAAATTCTCTATGACAAAGACTGGTAAATACTGGGGCGGGTTGCCCCAAGAGCCTGTGGAACTGCTACCCCTTAAAGGTGTTCAAGGCTTGGTTGGAATAAAAGCCCTGAATGACCTGGTCACTGTTAACCTTGCTTTGAGCAGGAGGTTGGCCTAGGTAATCTAATGAAGTCCCTTCCATTCTGAACAATTCTGGTAACACCAGCAAATGGGCTCACATCCCTTTCACTTCTTGCCTCTCCAAACCTGTTGACTGTTCAGCAATAAGGAAGTTCATCAACGTCTAATGACTTTTGAGATCACTGGCTGTACCACATTTGGGAATTATCAAAGGGAAACGATATAATTTCCTATAAAGCACATGGAATTGGCTCTGCAGATATGCTCAGTTTGTCTGGTGTAATTTTAGACTTTGGTGCAGCTTCACAGATCTGGGCTCTTTGGCAACTCCCGTTCTGATGCTTAGCCCAAGGGTCTCAGAGTCTGTGAGATGGCAAACGCTTGTCATTTCCTCTTGTCCTGTGTTGTATTGTTTGCCTTCTGCTGCAGCCACTGATGTAGCCCTCCCACTGAGAGAGCCTGGCCTGGAGTATTTTGGCTTCCAGTGTGGCCTGTGTGTTTTAGAGACAGCATTCACTCTGCATAGGTCCAGGGGTGCAATATGAGAACATGATGACACAAGCCCTGCAGTGCTACATTATGAACATGGGTGGTGAACTCTGCCTACTCTGAGCAGAGTAATTCTGGAAAATGTGGTCAGTCAAGCTCCCCAACAGTACACACAGGTACAGCATGTGCCTGGCTTTAGGCTCTTCCTCTGGCATTCCAGAGGAATGTGTAACAATGCACTCCGAGGCTAACAAGTGTGGACACTCAAGATCTAACATTCAGCATGAACCAGGACTATATGAGTGCAACCCACACATCTGCAAGAACAAGTTATATATATATACCACTTGCAAAGTGCTGTTTAAAAAGGTTTCTTCTTTTGTGGATGTAAGCATGTGGAAGTGGTTTCATTTTAAGGGCAAGCACACAAATTGAGGCGAAGCCATACAAGGAGCAGCTGAGGTCACTTGGCTTGTTCAGTCTGGAGAAGAGGAGACTGACGGGAGTCACAACTTCATCATGAGGGGAAGCAGAGGGGCGGGCACCGATCTCTTCTCTCTGGTGACCAGTGATGGGACCCAAGGGAACAGCATGAAGCTGTGTCAGGGGAATTAGGCCAGATATCAGGAAAAGGTTTTTCACCCAGAGGGTGGTCAGGCACTGGAACAGATTCCCCAGGGAAGTGGTCACAGCATCAAGCCTGGTAGAGTTCGAGAAGCATTTGGACAATGCTCTCAGGCACATGGTGTGGTTTTTGGGGTTGTCCTGTGCATAGCCAGGAGCTGGAATTAATGATCCCTGTGGATCCCTTCCAACTCAGGATATTCTGATTCTATGATTCCTTATTCCCAGACTCATATTCTTTGGGGATTTACATATTAGGCTCTACTCTTATCATAGACTAGTGAATGCCACATTTTCCTGATAATCTTCCTAAAATACTGACAAGAAACCTCTTGAAGAAGGGTCTGATCCTAAAGAGGATGCTCTTCATACATATTGCCTTGAGTAGTGGATGTACTTAAAATTATATTAATTTAGGCCTCAAGAAAGAAAATATAATAAAAACAAATTTATGAATATCAACAAGCAGAAGTACATCAAATGAAGCTGATGTACAGTACCATCTCAAAAAACAGTTTAACCAAATTAGTTGTAATCAAGTTCACCTAATTGCTCACAGTCATAATTGTTAGTGTTATTTTAAAAATATATACTTTTACTTAGAAAAAAAAAGCACTTTGTATCTTATTCTTCAATAGACACTGAACTAAATTCAATACAGAAACAAAGAAATGTTGCTAGTTTACAGGTCACAGTTAGAGCAATTTAAAGTAACTTGCTTGAAGTTGCTCAATCATATCAATGACATAGCAAAAAACCAAACTCAAAACTCAAAACTCATTCCATTTTCAATTTCAGAATTTTTCAAAGGGTAGTTTTAAAAATTTAGACATTTTTATCTTGCCATATGAGTACATGGAACCTCAAATGTGTGGCATCACCTTGACATCAAAGAGGTTGCAGGGTAATTTCTTTGGTTTTATGCAGACTCAAAAAGGCATATAAAGAAACATTTAAATAGAAACACTGTCAATGCTGTCAAAATGAAGCTCTGGGAAATAAACAGAAAGCTATCATTTGTATAGACTATTCAAAAGCTCATCAGAGAGTTGGATACACAGATTCTAACTGTACATGCTACTGAATAAGCAGAATCAAAAGCATCAGTAACTGCAAATCTGCAAAAGCTGAAGTAATGTCTGAATAACCACCCTTCCAAATATCCTCATGTTATCCTTACCAGATTAATCAGTCTTCTCATTGCATGTTCATGTGAGCAAATGCATTCACAGGGATCAAATCCACCTTCTGCCATGGTTCTCTGCATAAACCTGAACTTGTCTGTGAACACCTAAGAAGAATAAAAGGACAATGAACTCTTTTTCAACTGACCTTATTTTCCAAAGACTCACACATCAAGTTTCAGTTCATTTAATGCCAGGATGAAAAAGCAAAACAAAGCAGAGTAATCCTATTATTCCTTTGGCAGTCTGAATGAAGAAGTCTGGTATGTGCAGTTACATTTTGATGTTGTTGAAAGCACTGTCTCACACAGGCTTCCTTAGAGAGCCAAATAAATATTTTGCAAGACTTTGTGTGTCTCCCCTGGGTTTTCCCACATACCACAATGAAATACATCCAAACAAACAAGAAACACAACGATTAAATTTTTGTCTCTCATCTGCATAGTGGGACTCTTAAGTGTATATATACAATTTGAAAGGCCAAGGGAACTTGTACTCCTAAACCCTAATAAACTGCTGGCATTCTCCATCTAGATCAACATACAGGAAAATAATTTAAAACCCAGTAAGTTCTTTGCTAAAGGAAACAATCATCCTTGTTGTATAATAAAGGCAAGCAGCAATGGTGCAAAAGTGAATGTACTTGGAAACATTAAAAATGGAGCTACACACACTAATTTTAAACCAAAAAACTAGGTCAATCGCTTAGCAATACAGAATGGTCAAAGAAGCTGTAATGGACATAGTGGGAAATCAATTCTAGGTTATCCACTTGCTGAAACCACTCACATCAGAAATGTCAAGCATGTACAAATGTATCTTTACTATACACCAAATAACTTCTCGGTGACTTAATTGAGGGTCAAAATGTGTAGTAGACTACAAGGTATTTCTACCCTTGTGGTCAAATCAGGGATTGATTTCTCTCAAATGAGGACTCTTGGGGTATATTATAGTTCTACAAAACCATACTTTCAAAATATTTCTGTTAACTTGGCATCAGTTGCTACTGTTGCATGCACTGGGGCCCTACTGTGACATAACTGGCAAGCTTAACAAATTCAGCAACACGGAGCAGATACAACCTCTCAACTTCCAAAACCAAGTAGTTTATGAAGGTACCAGCCATTTGATAACGGTGTGCTGAATCAACAGATGTGCTCTGCAGTCATTGCCTACAAAAGTTACAGCCTTGATCACACATAAGCATTTTAATGTCACTAGAAGAAAGATGTCTATAAGATATCTTCATTCAACAGAATGTATCACCATAATAGTTCTTCCCTCTTGGGGGAAGAAAGAGAGAGAAAAAAAGCAAATGCATTTCAGAAGTCCTTCCTCTGTCATTGCCCACCATTCTTCTGAATAACCCTCTGCCACGGTGGAGAGAGCCAGATAGTAAAAGAAGGTAAGGCATATCTGTATCTTCATTATGGAGTTTGAACATCAGTGCCCTTAACTGGCTAGGGTCTCCATTTTTTAAAAACAAAACTGAAAAAGGAAAAATAAAGTTGAAGGGATGGATGAAAGACTTTTTGCCCAGATGCTAAGAAAGCAAAATCTGGCAATGTAGTGAGAAAATGAGAAATTACTTGATTATGTAGCGTACAAGCAGCTTTGAACAGAAAAACAGGCCTGCATATTGAAAAGTTCTTCAGTGAAGAGGTGATCAAGAATCAATACTTGGAAGCTGTAACCAACCAGATTCAAAAGAGAAGCAAGGTATACATTTTTACCATTACAGTAACTGCATTACAGTGCAACAAACTGCCCAAGGAGAAATGGATTTCTCATCACTCAATGCATTCAGATGTGCTTCAGTAAAATACAGGTTATTGAGTACAGGAGTACCCAAGTTCAGGTATGTTCTCCAATATAGGGGAGATCACAGCAGATGATCTACTGACTCTTTCTGAGAGTTAATTATAAAGCTACTACACTAACTTTCATGAAATTATCTCAGAAACACTAGAACCACATGACAGCAATAGAAAAAAACCTTTAACTACACAAGCTCCCTGGATGATACGCCATGCCAAGTAGAATAGCCTTTCTAAAACTAGCTTAGCACAAGGAACAGATAAAAGCGCTGATTGCTAAACAGTGCAAAATGGTTTCTCTGAATATAATGCTGACATCCAAGAGATGGTATTTGAACAAGTGAGGCTGAGAAACAATATTTAATCGTAACTTGAAAGAATTTAGGGGTCAGTAACACATCATGTGCAATGATGTGCTTATATCTGATGTGCAGACGAGTGCTTATATTACAGAAGACTACAAGAAAACCAAACATTGTATAAGAGTCATAACCAATGAAACTAGGTTAACATTCTTTACAGAGTCTACAACTGAAAAAGATTAGACAATAAATAGGAAAAATTAATCTGTCATATAATATCATAAATTTAAGCAGAGGCGTGCTAGAAAGAATTTACCCCAAGGTACTGGGTTGTACACGACCAGTTACCTTAATGAGCTAATTAAAGCAGGACACGTATCGCCAAGGAAAATCCAACCATCCAACCATTCAACAAAAGATCTCACAGGCTATCCCACCTTCACATGATGCTGACTGGAATAACCCTTTATCTTTCCATCCTCCAAGCCTATAACAAACTCTTCCATTGGCAAAGGACCGAAGATTGACCATGTAATTTGGGAACAGCACTAGGTTTTTCCCTGATAAAGATGCTAAAATTGGGTTGTTTTATTATGCTTAAAATCCAGGTAGCTAATTCCCCATTACGTGATTTTTTTTTCATGGAATTGGAGGAAATGGAGATTTTACACGTGACTGACCAGTTATAAAGAAGAGAGAAACACTCTAATACTATATGACTTTGACTTGTAAAATTACACTCTCATGTCTGTATCCTTCTTTAAAACATTCTTGGCTTAACTGTATTATTCGTAACACACTTTCAATGCATAAAGTACTAAATATCAACTAAGCTCTATAATCAGATCTTAAAGTTTATTAATGTTTTGTGACTCTGTCTAAGAATAAAAGACCAGTATTTTTATATATTTCATATTTTTATGAAGCAGGATTTCTTGGCTCCACTGTGTGCTCTTAGGCAGACTGTTTGTATCAAAATCCTGTTCCAGAATTGCAATGTGCTTCCTGTCTGCCTCCCGGTACTTGCAATTGTCTGATCTCACGTCAGCGGCTAACTTGTTCTGCCCAGCTCTGACCTCTTTGCTGTGAGTCACACGAGCTCTCCACCTTTTGCAAATACAGTCGTTCTACATACAGTCTATCACAGAAAACGGGAATATGTGCTCTGTTCTTTTCCTCATGACCTGGATAAAGAAAGAAAATGCTTGTAGTTGTCTTTTATTTGTTTTTTTCCGTATGTTTCTCTGTTTATTGTCACCTTGTCTTCCTTCGAATTTATAGAGTAACTGGTAAGATCACAGTAATTGGTAAGACTAGGATATCAAATACCTGCAAGCCCTCTGGCTGAGAGTTACTTTAATTGTATTTAAAATTACCATATGATTTGGCCATATTACTGCTTAGCACAGGGTTTACAAACAGCTGGAAGTCACAGTTGGTAAATATGCCAAAGCTTTCTCTGGTAACAGCTGAGAAGGTATATATTATGGTCTCTAGACTAAGCAAACTGATAGGGAGCATAATAAAGGAGAGAACTAGTAAACATGGACAAATGTGATGTACCATCAAAGAGTCAATATGACCTTTCCAGTCTAAAGAGGCCTAGAGAGACAATCATAAACAGTACTACTGAAATTAAAATACTGTGGTTGGAGTTAGAATTACAGTAATTCAGGAGCAAAGTGGAGGATGGTCTCTGATGATTTAAGACAGAAATAAAAGCCTACCTTTTGACTTGAGCATCTACTTGAAATTGTAGGCAATGAAGCCATATTGAAAATATTTCTAGTCTGTCATGGTTTAAAAAATAGCATTCTCAGTTCTAGTAACTATTGTAAATTGTTTCGTCTTTTATTATCTTCCCCACTCCCAGCCCTAAAGGTGTGCTATATATTATACACCCTACTATCAGAAACACAATTTTTATGGCTACACTCTGGTTGGGGTTTTTTTTTTGTACCTGGCGACTGTTCTGTATTTTAAATTATTGCAACGACTATACATTATTTCCCAATTCAGCAACACTGCTCCTGAGTAAATAGCAGGCAGCTGGTGAGCTCTGGGAGACAGAAATTATACTCCACCTCACTCCACTCTAATAATTACAAAACCAAATTCCTTTCCATCACGAAGGCAAACAAGAATTTTTGCCAATCTTCCATATGCTTGATGCCCTCCAGTGTAACTTGAATATGATGGATGCTGATTAGCAAGATCATCAGAGTCTACATATTGGTGATCTCTACTCCTTGCTATAAAAGACTGTAAAAGTATTTATCATTCTGGTATTCAAAGAAACACTCACTCTATATGATACATAAATCAGAGTTACTACAGATTTGTCATGGACTAAACTGGGCATCTTAAGCATCAAAACATTAAGCTCATTAACCCTTTTCTTTCCTGGATCCGGACACTTTTAAAATGTAGACTACCATCACACAGTAAATACAATGGCTGAAGATTTCCTCTGCTAAGAACTACTTTTGCTGTGTTACTATTTTCTTGAAGACTGAAGGTAAGAAATCCTTGGGAGCAAAACACCTCACAGTAGAGCAGGCAAGTAACAGAATATTGTCACTACTTTAAAGAGAAACAAAACCCTATTCAATTCCTCATTACTGTTTTTAAGCCAACTGCAATAACTCAGCACAATTGGCAAATGCCTCTAAGAAGCCATCAAGTTAATTTTGCTTCTGAATTCAGTTTGGGAGAAGTGTGTCAGAACAAATGAAAATACGTATAAAATTTAAAATGAAAATATATAAAGAAGGCAAATTATTTCTTATGCCTCTGCAGGCATTCTGAAAAATTATAAAGGGCTAAAAGAGTAAAAGTCATATACAAAAGTCATAAATGACTCACTGCCCCAAAGATATAATGTTCATTTTTATTTTACTGTCGGAGGCAGAAACCCTCTCTCCTATACTCTTCCATCACTTACTGAAGGATCCAGGTTTCCTTAAAAAGAATTTGTTCTCTTGC